TCTGGTGTTCCTCTTCCGAGCCCGATGGACTTGATGTATAAAATTTTGGTGAAAAATAAAAAGAAATCGCACAAGTCGTCAGAAGGAAGTGGCAAAAAGAAGTTGTCCGAACAAGCCTCCAACACGTACAGCGACTCCTCCAGCGTGTTCGAACCCTCATCTCCGGGAGCCGGTGAGGGCCCGTCACTCGCGTTCTCTCTGCGGTTTGCGGTGGGCGAGTGGCTGCTCCGCATCCAGCGGCCCAGCCTCTTAGACACAGGCCAGCGCTGGCCTGCAGGGAATGCGTTGCTGGACTTAGGGGCTCGGGGCCATACTCAGGGAACATGTATGTAGGCCAATGGGCACAGCCTCATCTCCAGAGAGAATGTTCCCTGTCCCGCTTTGGACAGGAGCAACTGGGGAATGAAACGTTCTGAGCAGCTAGCCCAGGTGCCCTGCTGAGGCTCTCCTGTCCAAAGTGAAGAAGGGTGAAGTCAACCCAAAGTTGCATGGGGAGTAATGATCATGCGTTGGGAGAATGAATGTAGCACACAAGCCTCTGCCCCTGCCACCCTCAGACCAGGAGAACTAGAGGACCTGCTTCCACTAACTGTCTACTGACAGGGATCACACTAAAAGTTCTTGGATAGATTGGGGACAAATACGGAAGGGCATTCAAAATAATAACAGATCCTGATAGAGACTGGTGGGACCCTCAAGACACCCTTTAGGCTCCAATTTTAGCCAAAGAATAGACAGGCTGAGAAGGCTAGCAGTAACACCAGGGAGAAACGTACTCCTTAGAGCAATGAACCTTATAAAACCAAAAGGGCATCATCCGCCCAGGGATAAAACTCAGGAAGCAAGAAGGGGTCGGAAAGAAGGAAGAATAGAAAGGGAAATGCAGGGAGAAGGTGGGAGTGGGGCTGGCAGTCGGTGTCCCAAAGGAGGAGGTATCCGAATCCTGGAATGGAAAGGCAATGTACTCGCTGGATTTTCACCTTGAGTCCCCAGGTGGTTGGGAGTTGCCATCAAACTTGCGCTGACTGACTAGCAAGCAGCGCTACGTCAGGACCACAGAACAAAACACCACCCCTTCCTGTGCCAGTGTCTGGGCTGATTATTCTAGCTCCTGTGTCAACTGACTTCATTGAGAATCCTCCTGTTGTTTGCAGACCCTCCACTTCGGCAAGCACGAATGGCATCGTCCTTCTCTAGAAACTGGTCTCTCCTGATAACATGCCCAAAGGACAGGAGAGTCAGGCTGGCCATCCCTGCTTCTAAAGAGCATTCTGGCTGTACTTCTTCTGAGACACATTTGTGTGTTCTTCTGGCCAAGCCTGGTACTTTCAATCTTCCTCATTAACACCATTGTTCAAATGCCTTGATGCATAACAGTGCAATAGAAAGAGGAGGAAGAATGGCTGCCCTGAAACAAGCATGGAAGGGCGTTTCCGTTTCCATGGCAGCAGCCTTCAATGGTTGGCTTCCTAGGGCTGTCGTGGCAAAGTACCACTCGATGCTGTGTGTCTTCAAACCGCACACGTGCGTGATCTGGTGGGTCTATCGGTCTCGAGTCCCATCAGGCTGTCACCCCAAGACCTGGTGGGGCTGCGCACCTTTCACGAGGCTCCGGAAGAGAATCCATGGCCTGGTCTGTCCACTTTCTGGGGGCCACGCATGGATTCCCTGGCTCTTGGACCCTCACCTTCAACTTCAAAGCCAGCAGGAGGGCATCTCTGTGAGCCTGCTGCTAGAGCTCTGCCCCACGTTTGACCTCCTGATAATCCACGTTAAACCGTGATGCATCTCTTCGGCATAATGTTCAGCACAATAAGTCAGGTACAAAGCAGTTATACTCCGCTGTGGTTCCACGTGATGAAACCCGATCTGTGCCGTTCTACCTGGGGCAATAACAGTGACCCTTGGGGGAGAATTGACTGTATGGGAGCCCCAGGTGGCTTCTGGGCATGCATGTTTCTTGAGCTGGCACTTAGCACTCAGGTGTGTTCAGTTGGCTGAAAAATCCACTGCTTGTGGCACTCATGGTGCGTGTATTCTTCGGTCCACCTATTGTACAGCCATTCCAACATCTAAGCACAATTAATAATAAAATGACAGTGTCTAGGGCAACAAGCAAAATGTTGACAAAGAACCTGATTTACCTTCTCTTTGGGGGGACCGGTCTTACTTGCCAGTCGTACTTACTTTCTTTCTTTGACTCTTTAGGTTTAAAAGCTTACATAATTGATTGAAAGGAGCATGCCTTTTTTTTTTTTCTGGTAGATTTTAAAGGTGTGTTTCAAACATTATCACAGAATTCCAATTTTTGTTGAAAAAAATTTTGGTTCTCTATAACCATGTTCTTTTTGAATTTTTGCACTAAATATCACAAACAGGCCTACCATTAACATAATTACCTAACTAATAACTAATAAATAGTTAATAGTTAATAAATAACTAATTACCTAACAATATCCAAGCCTTGAATTGTAACGAGTAAATCTTATCTCCCTTCCCATGTGGGTGCCTGCTTTTTTACCATCTGCCTTTCCCACTGCTTAACTGGATACATAGCACAAACCAGGATTTTTACCGGCAGGGAACAGGATTGCTTCATACTCTGAAAAAGCAGCAATCTGTTCGTAATTTAGTAGGTTTCGAAAGCTAGCCCCAAAGCCTATTGTGCAATCCTTATTTATTTCAACGGGAAATTTTGCACTTTTTAATATGTTAATAGACTCCTGGATAAAGGATATTTGCTAATTTACCGTGTGAAGGGTAGATTTTTGCAGGTCATTGGGAGCACAAGGAACTTGAAAGATAGTAAATGAGTCTTCTTTCAAAACTAATTTACTGACGTTACACCCTAGTGGCCAGATGCGATTTTTTCCCCGGGACTTGGTTCTTTGTGAGTGCATTATCTTAAAGAACTAGGACCCTAGTGGCAAAGGGTTGGTGTGCTTTGCTGCTAATTGAAAGGTCAAATGTTTGCTCCAGGGAAGAAGAAAAGGGGGGGGAGGGGGGGGAGAATCAGTCTTCTTTCATAAAGATTACAGCCTTGAAAACCTTTGGGGCAATTCTATGGAGGAGATTGACTGACTGGCAGTGGGTTTTTTTTCTAATTAGAGTAGAGTAGATGGCTTTTGGGCTCTCCTAAATTCCTCCCAAGACTGGAGGGAAGCCAGTGACCATGGCAGTGAAGGACGATAAATTCTTTCCTATGTAAATCACACAGTGGGATATTTGACTAACTCATATATGATTGTGTCTCAAGAAAAATTTTCATAAGATTCTGACAAATGACCTTTTGAAATTAGGTGATTAAAAGAATCTCTTGCCTGATTAGAAACAATAACCAATAATTTGGAGCAACAAATTTGATAAGATCATCTGAAGTGGAGGCACCATATGCCTCTAAAAGAATGTGTTTCTAATATAGTAAAGTGTATTTTCTATCTAAAGCTTAATTGATGCTAAGCTGACCAAATATCAACTTCATAAAGTGGTTCCATGTGGTGTTCTTAAATAATCAAGCTACATCTAGCAATGACTGGCTCACTCAGAAATCATTTCCCTCCCAAGATATTTCATGAATATTTTGATGGCTGTTATTAGTCAGTAACTGAGTGAACTTCATCAACCAAATGAAAACATGTATTATTTTCTTGGAGGATAATGTTGTGAGTGCTGCATAATTTACAAAAAACTGGACCACTTTCAGAAGGCATTTAGGATGCTAGGCGTTGCTAAAGAGTTGTCTCATCATTGTTCCAATATCGCCATCTACTGGTACAATTATGAAATTGCAGTCGGTAAACCCATAGTCAGACTATTTAGAACTGTGTGCCTTCTTTACTTTTTGCTTTCCAAAAAATAAAAATAACATTCTAATTCTGAAGTGTCCGGAAGAATTCAGAAGCTATTGGATAATGTAATGCTTCAGACTGGTGTGAATATTTAACCTTAAACACTCAAAGTCACTTGCCCCTGTGGCTTTCGGAGAAAGTAACTCTAAGGAAGTAGAAAGCGGTATATTTTTCCCACAGAATGGCTGGTGCTTTCAAACTGCTGACCTGTCATCACCACTCCACTGCTAGGCTAGGTAGCCCTGCACCCACGGAATCTGGGGATGCCCTTCTCCTGGAGCTGCTGGGAATGTGTGTGATCCAGTGTCCCACAGGGTTAACTTTCGAGCAGAATGACTTCGGGGATTCGCCCCCTTGTATGCTGCCCCATAAAACACACTGGCAACATTTTCTCAGCTCCGTGCATTGTATAGAAGGCAACGTGTCCATCAAAGAAGTTTGTAGATAAATCATAGGATCTGGCTGTGGACCAGCAAGTTTTGAGCAGTAAAGTGTGATAGGAAATCCCGGGTCTTCTGCCCCTGCTCACGTCACCGTCCGTGAATTCAGTGCGTTCCGGTGGGGCCTTGGCTGGAATGGGCAGGTGTTGGGATTCCTGGCTGTGTGTGTTAAGGGGATGTTTCTCTATTTTGGAGTCAAAGTAGCTATGAATGATAATGTATATACTAATACATATATCATTATATCATGCATGGTTTTCTTTGTTTGTTTGTTTGTTTGTTTGTTTGTTAAGTATTTTAGAGGGCCTGGACATTTCAAATAGTATTGGCCAATTAAATTTAGGTGGAGAAAACGGCATTTAAAAGGCACGTGTGCTGATAGAACGGAAATTCTTAACAGGGAAACCAGCTGGTGTTCCAGGAACACTGACCAGCCCGTGTTTGAAATCAGTGTGTTTGTTATTTAATGACCCGCTGTTAACTTTTCCAGGGGAGCCCGAGACGGAGAGTGACGACGACGACGACGAGGACGACGGTAAAAAGTCCTCCATGGATGAGGTGGGTCTTCCCTGGATTCCGGACCCAGGTGTGGGACGCATGCTCTCGATCCATTTCTTGGTCACGCCTGCCATCTAGTGCCGAAAGCCTCGCAGTGCACCTTCAAACTCCCCACCCTGCTTCCAACTAAAGATGCAAATTTAGGCAGGACAGGGAAAGGATGAGTCAACCGGGTTGCAGCATAGCACTGATGAAGCACACAACATTCCTCAGGTTCCTTGAAGCTTTCTTACCCCCGACCTTCATGACCCCAGTCCTGCCTTTCACTGCGGGCTTGACCGGAGCATGTGCACAGGTACAGAGAAGAGATAAGAGCTCAGACACATGGAATCCAGGAACAGGAATGGGAGTAGTGATACCAGGAGGGCAGGGGGGAGGTAGGGAGAGATGGGGCGGAAGGAGGAACCGAACTCAAGGAACGACAAATCACCACTACCACCACTTCCCGGGGGGACGAACAGAAACCATGGGGGAATGGAGACAGCGATCAGTGTAAGATATGAAAATAATTATCATTTATCATTTATCAAGGGGCTACAGGGGGGCAGGGAGCTGATACCAAGGGCTCAAGCAGAAAGAAAATGTTTTGAAAACGATGGCAACATATGTACAAATGTGCTTGATACAATTGATGTATGGATTGTTATGAGTTGTAACAGCCTCCCATAAAATGATCTTTTAATATATAAGAAGAAGGAACCAGCAGGGCAGTGAGCCAAGTTCTTTGTAGTGAGCGGCGGGGCTGGGGTTGTCTCTCCCGAACAGACCTCTCCAAGGTGCATGGAATGTGACCAGGTGTGGCCGACATGAAATCAATGGCGTCACATTCGCGGCAATGACAAGGAGGGCCAAGTCGCTAGGAAGTCTGGAGACCGCGTGGCAGCTCCAGAAATGTCCAGAGATGTTAGGTGAATTGTGATTTGGGATCCATCGAGCCATTCACATCGGCTCAGAAATGTGAACTCCACAAAGCCCAGAGCGCGCCAGCGGCAGGGCAGGCAGCATGGAACGTTTGTACTGCAGCTGCTTTTCGAATAGCAGGGAGGTCTTAGACTCAGGACCCGCATCTGTACTAAATTAAATGAATCAAACCAAATAACGCGGAGGTCACTGCAGGTGGTCATGAACTGGACTTGACTCGGTGACGGTGGATGTGGCCCTTGCTTAAGCTTCTCCTGGTGCATGTCCTTCCACTCGCAGTGATTTCAGAAATGTGACCTGCACTTTTTGTTTCTGATCCTCCTCACTGAATTTCTAGGGAAGGCACAAGAGGAATTCTTGGTCAAGTAGTTCTGCCAGACAATTAGATTCATCGTGTTTGCTTATTTATTTATGTTTTAATCAGCGGCTCTTGATATTTTAAAAACTGTCTTCTTGCAAGGATGGTCAATTTGCAACTGCTCCCCAATTGACGTTTAGCATAAACATTGCTGCAGGAGTTTTCTAGAGGAACTCCATGTAGACAATTGGACATCCGAGGCCTCGCAAAAGGGTCACAGGGAAGGGGCGAGCCAGCCAGAGTGCAGTGTACCACCGACGCAACACACAACCTTCCTCTAGTTCTTTAATCAAAGAACTAGTTTCGCCCCTGCCCCCCGCTTCATCATGACTCCAGTTCTGTCTTACAAATCCGGCTATATCGGAGCATGTACACTGGTACAGATAAGAGCTCTGGACACACAGAATCCAGGACAGATAAACCCCTCAGGAACAATAATGGAAGTAGCGATACTACGGGGGGAGGTGGAGGAGAAAGGGGGAGCCATTTATCGCAGAGATTGACCCACACCACCATCCTACGCTGAGGGGGATGAACAACAGAAATGTGGGTGAAGAGAGACAGCAGAAGGTGTAAGATATGAAAATAATAATAACTTGTAATTTATCAAGGGTTCATGAAGGTGGGAAGGTGGGGTAAGGAGGCATAAAAAGGAGGAGCTGATACCACAGGCTGAAGTAGAAAGAAAAGGTTTGAAACTGATGATGGCAACATGTGTACAAATGTGCTCAATTCAATTGATGTATGGATTGTTATAAGAACTGTAAGAGCCCCCAACCAAATGATTTGTTTTAAAAAGGCTGGGGGGATATTAGCTCAGTCTATAGACATCTACCTACAGAGTTGGTTTTCCCTTTTTGAAGCTGTCTCAAATTAATTTATAGTGATGGATAAAAGGAGGTGAGGATTTACTATGTGCCAGACATCATTGCCTTTCACATATGTGAACTCATTGCTTGGTCACAGAAACTTGCCATGCCAAAACAAACCCCACTGCCATTGAATCGATTCTAGCAACCCTATCTAGAGCTTCCCAGGTTGTCAGTCTTTACCAGAGCGGACAGCCTCATCTTTCTTCCAGGCAGTGCCTGGGGGGTTTGAACTGCTGACTTTACAGTTACTATTCCAATGCTTTCCTGACAGGCACCCTAGCTCCTGTTTGCTACAGAGACTGGTATGACACCAATTTTGCAGATAAATAAGCTGAGGCACAGAGCATTTAGAGACTTGGCCCGCAGGTCCTCAACTAGTTAGAGATGGACTACGTTGTCAGAACCAGGCCGTCTGACTCCGGAACCTGGGTCATTGACTCCTATGCCGTTTGCCGTCTGGAATATGCGTATGTGCACAGGGAATAAGGAAGACGGGCCAGGAAAGTTTATGCCAAACAAACAGATGTTTGCCCTGTCCCTGCCCACTAGTAAACGCCACCTCTTCTTTCCTTTCTTTCTTTTTTTCTTCCTTCCTCCCTTCCTTTCTTTCTTAGTGGCCAATTCATCTGGCAGGCACCTGCGCACTCGTTTTCTTATTGTTCGGCGAGTTCTCGAGTTATTAAGTACAGACATCCTCTGTGGGTATTCTGCTGTGGAAGGTGGGGTAGATGGGGGCAGGGGGCTTCAAAGAGTGCATAAAAGCACGGAACTGTAAAGGAATGGCCCTTCCCACGCACCCTTCCCCAGTCCCTGCCTGGCTTCATGCATGTGTTGGGGGGGGTCACCCAAATCCAGTGTGGGAGCCCTAGGAAGGGGCCTCAGTCGGCATTTCCAACATGCTAGCAGGGGAGGGACACACCACTGGTTGCTTGAAATGGACGTCCCTCCTCCAGCCCCTCAGTGCTGAAAACCAGAGACTGCTGGTTCCGGCTCCAGGAATGCATTCCCCACTGGGCATACTGACCGTTCAGAAGGCCGAGGAGCCCACTCACCATGGAGACGATGCTACCGTACGGCAACCTCAGGACCGACTCGCTCTGCCGCACTTGTCCTGGAGACTGACCATTAGGGAAGCACACCGCCCCATCTTCATCCCTCGGAGCAGCTAGGGGGTCACACTGCCCAACTGTTGCTTAGCAGCTGAGTGCTATCGCCACTGCTCCTGTGTTCAGGAGCGGAGGGACACTTTTCTGTCGACTCAGGCCGGCGGGTTGTTACCCAGGAGAAAGGGCCCTCGTGTCCTGCTGTCACTGAGCGCGCTGTGTTCATGTTTGTCTCTCCAGGGGACTGCGGGGAGCGAGGCCATGGCCACGGAAGAGATGTCTAACCTGGTGAACTATATCCAGCCTGTCAAGTTTGAGTCCTTTGAGACCTCGAAGAGTAAGTTTTCCCCGGAGAAGGACTTCCAGCGTGGCACAGAATGGGTGTGCTTCCAACACAGAATAACTTGATGGCGGAATGCCACCCTTCCCAAACTGTTCAGTAACGAGCAAATCTTGAACAGGCACGATGAGTGGAGCAGCTCAGCCTCTTCCCTCTGGGCATTAAAGAAGCACATAAGAAAGAATTCCACGATGCTCCTCGCAGATGCTTAATAGGGCTACGGGCCACGCACGGTCATCTGAAAGAGTTAGATGAGTTTTACATTTGTACCTGCTTGGATTTAACCGTAACACAGCAGGCTCCATCCATCGCCTGTCGAAGTGGCAGTGTTCAAAGAAACCACCCACTCTTCCCCCAGAAGGAAAGCAGCCTGGCTTGGTCAGTCCTGGTAACTGGACTCAAACTCACCACCAGCCAGTCCCTTCCGCCTCGTGGCAACCCCTCAGCACAGAGCCGAACTGGCCCTGGGGCTTTCTGAGACTAAACTTTGACAGGAATAGAAAGTGTCATCTTCCTCCCCTGAGCCTAGCAACCCAACAGGTCGCACTGCACCCTCAGGGCTCCCTCCTGAAACTGTAACTGGAAAGCATCCACCGCTTCCCTCGCCTTACGTGTGTCCAGTATACTTAGTTTATTTATTTAGCAGAATACCTCCTTAACCTCACATCCCTTGATGCTTTCCCTCCATCTGTAGCTGTCCAATAAAATCATCTTTCTACAACCCGGTGGAGAACAAACAAGGTGGGCCTCTATGTTTTCATGAAATGTAAGATACTCTCGGGTTGTGAGCATTTGGGGGGCGTCTTCAGCTGTCTAAAAGGATGTGCTCGTAACACCTATTTCAGCTTTAGCCCAGGAGCCCTTAGAAATGGGTAGCTTTGCTGTTACTGTTCTCAGTCGCTTCCCTCTCATGGCGACCCTGGGCACAACAGAACCCACCACTGCCAGTCCTGCGCCATCCACAGGGGTTCTACGTCTGAGCCCATTGTGCAGCCACTGTGTCCATCCGTCTTGTTGAGGACCTTCCTCTTTTGCACTGGCCCTCTCCTTTAGCAAATACGATGTCCTTCTCCAAGAAATGGTCTCTCCTGATAGCACGCCCAAAGCGTGTGAGATGAAGTCTCGCCATCCTTGCAAGGATCCAGAATGCTCGGCTGTCCGTCTTCCAAGACAGATGTCTGTCTGGATTTACAGTCCCTGGTACTTTCCATATTCTTTGCCAGAACTATCGTTCAAAGGCATCAGGTTTTCTTGGGGCTTCCTCATTCACAGTCCCCACGCTCACAGACATATAAGGTGACTGAAAACCCCCTGGCTTGGGCCACACACACTTGAGGCCTCAAAGAAACGTCCTTGCTTTAAAGAGGGCTGTGCAGAAGATCTAGCCAATGCCCTGCATCGCTTGCTCTCTTGACTGCTGCTCCCATGAGCATTGATTGTGGGTCCAAGCAAGATGATAAGTCTTGGCCGCTTCGTCTTTCTACACTGACCTTGCTACCTATTGGCCTGGTTGTGAGGATTTTGCTTTCTTTGCCTTGAGTTGTAATCCATGCTGAAGGCTCCAGTACTTGACCTTCACCAGTAAATGCTTCAAGTCCTCACTCTCAGCAAGCAAGGTTGTGTCATCTGCATATCAGAGATCTTTGCACATTTCATGATAAGATTTGACATTGCCCTCCTGAGCTTCCCTTTCACATAAAAGCAAGTATCCTAGTTTCTTCTGACATCCACATCGATCCTTTCTTTCTCATCCCTCTTTCTAGTGACCTTTTGCTGTCTTCGTGTCTGGTGGTCTTGATGTCCTCCCACAGCTCATCAGGTCCCTGCCACTCGTGCTCTGTGAATGGAATCTGCTCTCGAATTCCGGATGGGATGGACTCAGGGTCAGGTTTTGGCTCTTGTGGACTTGTTTTCCTTTTCTTCAGTTTCAACAGGAACGAACACAGGAGGTCAGCGCCGGGCCTGCTGATTTTGAGCTTCTCCATCACCTCTTCCCCCAGCTGTAGTGAACTGTACTTCTGTGTCCCCCGCCTGGAGGAGTCCACATGTGTGGTCAGATTTAGTGTGGCTGAAAAGGGGTCTTTGCACTTAAGAAGCCGTTGGTCTTGCAAAATTCTACCATGCCATCCCCAGCTTTGTTTCTATCCCAAGACCACGTTTTCCAACTACTATTCCCTCCTTTTTGTTCCAATATTATCGATGAATGTTGATTGCATACTCGATCAATTTCAGACTGAAGGCATTGGTAGGGTTCTTCCATTTCCGCATCACTAGCTTTAGTGGTTGGTGCCTAAATTTGAAGAATCGTGTTAGTGATTGGATTTCCTTGTGTTTGGCTAGACATCGTCCTAGCACAGAAAGCCTCGTACTTCAAGGTAGATCTTGAAATGTCGCTTTTGATGCGGAATGCAGCCCCACGTCTCTTGCCTGTGTCCTTCTCTGCAGAATCATCCAAGGACTTTTCTGCTTTACACTGGCCATGTCAGCTCACCAGAGACTAGAATAGTCATCTTTATGTGCTCCATTTCAATTTTAACAACTTCCAGTTTTCCTAGAATCATACTTTGTACATTCCAAGTCCTGGTTGTGAATTGATGATGATTTTATCTCCATTTGAGTCATGCTCTACCAGCCAATGAAGGTCTCAAAGCCTCCTCCTGCCCTCTCGACTCCACCTGCATCCTGATGGTCCATTCTGCTTTGAACAGGCAGCTCTCCCTCGGGCATGTTTTCAGTGTCTTCTACTTGAGTGACTCACCTGCTGGCATGATCTCTGACGATGTTCAACTTCTATTCACTACGTTTTTGGTAACTGGCAATATTTTGATGCTGTCCATAGATTTTTTTCAGTGGCTAATTCTTCTGAAGTGGTCAGGCCATTCCTTCTTCGTGACCTGTTCTTCACCTGGAAGCCTCGCTGACACCTGTGCTGTTGGGGGACCCTGCTGCTATTTGAAATGCCATAACTTTCTGCATCATAGCAACACATAAGCCACCACAGTGTGACAGACAGACAGGTAGTGGGATGGCTTTGGAGACACAGCAGAATCCAGTTCTCCCCTTATCACACTCATGTGACTATGCGTAATTTTGCCAAGAGTAGGAGCTTAGTGGCATGTGGTATCTACATTTTTACAGCAAAGAATTTCATTTCCCAAAGTTTCCATATCAAGATATTTGTTAAATGTTTTAATTACTGATACAGCTTGCGACAAGTTGTTCAATTGGAACCATCCCCAAATAGTCATTTTGACATTACTGTCATTTTCACTTGTTCAAAAATGAATGCTGCTAATCTGCTGATTAAAAGCTCCCAGACACCGTGTGGCCAGCATGCTGAGGCACTGATGTAGTCGTTCCTTCAGCACCTACCAAATGTTTGAGAACAGCCGCCAGACTGCAAAAAGTACTTTTCTCCTTGTGTTTTAGGTCTCTCTCTTTCTCTCTCCTTTTATTTTTTTCTGAGACTATTCATGAACTTTATTTTACATGCACATCCATTTGCAATACAAAAAAGTTCTAAGAACCACCACATAACTATCATAACCTCGGAAATAAGTTTACTATAATATCAGTAAATGCTACTATGCATGTTAAAATGTAAGATGCTTTTTCTTAAGTAAGAGCCCTGAGCTAAGCAGAGGGCTGCTAACTGCAGGGCCAGTGGTTCAAACCTGCCACCACTCCAAAGGAGGAAGATGAGGTCGTCTCCCCTATAAAGACTTACAGTCTCCAGAATGCTGAGGAGCAATTCCACTCTGCTCTACAGGGTCCTGTGAGTTGGAATCGACTCATTGGTAGTGGGCTTTGGGTTATTCTTCAATCATAACTAAGAAAACATGTTAACCTTAGATTTTTCCAGTTAAACTTGGAAACGATCCAGGGAAAACAAACGGTGAGTATGGAATCGTGTTCAAATATAACTGGTAACACAAATATGGCTCACATTTCTGTAGAATAAATAATATTAGCTATTTTGCCATATATCGTGGCATTGTTTTTTGAAAGGTCCCTTCTGCTTTGTAGCACCATGATTCTAATGCTGTCTGAATACAAAAGATGCAAACTGAGACAGACCTCGCCCGTGAGGAGGTGCCCGTGTGCGCATGAAAGAGACTGGCCGCATCAAGTGCAAGCATCCCCATGGTCTCTTTCATTAACCTCCAGAAATGACCCCAAGAAAGCAACCTGGCTGACGAGAACAGAAGCTGCTGCCCTTTCCCCAAACCCTCACAGCCAGCCTATAGGACTTAGCAGAGTTGCCCCCTGTACGTTTCTGAGACTATAATGTCCCTCGCAATGGCTGCTGGGCTTGAACAACTGACCTCACCATGAATAGCCCAGGGTGTAGCCCGCTACCTGACCAGGGCCCCTTGTGAGTTAGAATTGATTCAATGGCAGTGGGATTTTTTGTTTGTTTGGCTGATGTTTAGATTTTTATGCCAAAACCAAGCCAGGTCTAATGCCAGCCAAATCTCACGGTGAGCTCGTGTGCTACAGAATAGAATGACTCCATTTGGGTTTCCTGCCTATAATCGTTACTGAAGCACATCACCAGACCTTTCTTAAGCGGCCTAGGTGCGAGCCTCCCAGCTGAGAGGGGTGGACCTCCATGTTTCAGGTGAGGACTTGAGTGTTAAGCTCAAACTGTATGCACCCCTCAGGGCCCGTTGCCTCATGGTCTACACCACTAGAGACTCACTGCCCTCAAATGGCTCTGAAATCATACGGACCCCGCAGAGGAGACAGCGGATCTGTTCCTTAAGGGTTCGAAGACTGTAAAGCATTACAGGCCAGACAACCTCATCTCCCTCCTAAGGAGCAGTGGGGAGTTTGAACTCTGACTTTTGACCTTTTGGTTGGCCAACCTCATGCTTATCCTATGGTGCCTCCAGTGCTCCATCCCCACACTGTCCACCTCTAAAACCAGCTCCCTAACTTTGTGGCCTCCAGGCCCCTCGCTGGTCCAACCTACCCCCATAAGCGAATCTGATCCAAGAAGCAAACAGGAGAAAAAGCACCCAGCAGGCCCAACTCTTCTTCCAGGTAAACAGTTCACTGGAGGGAAAGGGGGGCACTTGAAGATGAAGTTTCGCTGGGTATGAATTGCCTTCAATTTCATTGAACATTCACCAACAAACTTTACAATGTTAGCCATTACACTTCACTTGCTTTGCTTTTCTCTTCTTTTTAACTCAGAAAGAAATAAAAGTTTTGAAATGTCGTCCTTCGTGGAGACCAAAGGCCTTGAGCAGCTAACGAAGTGCCCCGTGGAATTCGTCGAGTATCCTTGATTTAGCCACGTCTGGTGACATCACACATAGAAGAAGTCAGGGGCTATGTCATTGTTTTCAAGTAAGGAGGAATATCCACCCAATGGCTGCAGTCTATATAGCCTGGGCACGTAGTGATTTCTGCTAAATAGTGGTCTGCAACCCTCAATGGGGAGGCTGGAAAATGGAAGCGAGAACTAACTGCAGGGTGTAGGAAGTCCAGTCTTCTACACCATCAAGTTCTTTGTCCTTTGACTCCATCTATCTCAGTCTCCTGATCTGTCAAATAGGTAGCTTTGTGGCTTTCTGTGTGGGCTACAGAAAGTATTTGTGAAGTCTATGTGTACTTCATACTTATGTCATAGATCTGTGTAAA